TTTGTTTTTTTTTATAAAAAAAAAAAAAAAAAAAATATATATATATATATATATATATATATTATAAGTTAGAGAGAGAGAGAGAGAGAATGAGAATGTAATACAGATGGACATGACAGCTCAGAATAGCTGTTACACAAATGTGCCATCGTTCAAATGAAGGTTTGGCATCACAAAGTATCAGAGAATACATAAAATGTAGCATATAGCAGCATAATAAACTGTTTATACCGTATATACATTGATATTCTGCAAAATATAAAGTGCACAGGTAGACTGTATAACAGGAAAGTTGTTGATATGTAAATGTCTGGATTGAAGTAGCTTCAGAACATACAGATAATGTCAAATTAAATACACATTCAGTTTCTTCTCTTATGTTATAGGACAGTGAAGTGTCAGATTTGGAGCAACCTCCTGGACCGGAGATGAGTCTGAACCGGAGCAATGCACGTGTTTATTGCGTTTGTCGCAAACCAGACATCAACTGCTTTATGATGTAAGATGTGTTTCTCTTCAAATGTTTGCATGCAGTTTTTAAAGATGCTGTTTCTTTGTAAAACTAAATATTTTCAATTGCATGTTTCAAATTATTTTCATGTACACACAGTGGTTGTGACAACTGCAATGATTGGTTTCATGGAGACTGCATTAAAATATCAGAGAAGATTGCCAAAACCATCCGTGTTTGGTACTGTGAAAAGTGTCGAAGTAAGGAAATTTGAATTATTCATTTTATTTTATATAATTGTTTTTATTGGTTTTGTTTTAAAAATACTAAATATATTTATTTATTTGATTTTATTTTTAATTATTAATATTTTATTATATTATTTTTTTAAATCATTTTTAAAAAACTATATGACAATATAGCATCAAAACCAGCCCTGAGTATGTACATCCTGCAATCTAGGTAAAAATGAGTCCTTAGAGATTAAATTCCGCCCCAAGAAAAGCAGAGAGAAAGAAGCGGAGGCAGACGGGACCGATAACCAGCAAGACACACCGGATTTCGAATGGAAGTCGGATGGACAGCTTGGGTCACGGGTGAGAAATTCTGATTGATAAAGCTGCTCTCGTACAATGACTTTTGTGAAGACCGTGACTGAGGACTGGCTATGGGGAATATTTGGGATTTGTCCTCAGATTAAGCGCTCAGCTCGCATGTGTGGAGAATGTGAACCCTGCATGCGCACCGAGGACTGTGGACTGTGTGACTTCTGTAAAGACATGAAGAAGTTCGGCGGCCCGAATAAGATCAGGCAGAAGTGTCGGCTGAGACAGTGTGAAGTGCGCGCTAGGGTGAGTTTCACTTTTGTAAAAGAGACAACATCCCAGTCATATTACCAGTGGTTTTGTCTTTTTTATCATATGCCTTTATGGTGTATTTTAAGGTGTAATCATGTTTATTGACTCTGTGTACGATATGATGCATCTCAGCAATTATTGCCAAATGGTTCTGTAAGTTTTAATGTGTTTTTATTGATTGTTGTTAGTCATTTTCATTTAGCAGACACTTTTATCCATAGCAATTTCAGTACACTTATTACAGAGAATATTAGTCTGGAGTGAGTCTGGGTTACTAAAACTAAAACCAAAAAAGCATTTTTGCTACTTGAAATAAAATAATAACTGAAATAAAATAAAGCATTACAAAAACTTAAACTTCTTTTATTCCAGCTAGTTGCCAAGTAAAACATTTCTCATTTTCATTTAGTTTAACTTGATGTACTAAAATAACTAAAATTGAAATAAAAATTAATAACTATTTAGATATATATTTCAAAAATGACAAAGACACACAATAAAATGACTAAAACTTTAACCCTTATGGAACATACAACCTTTAAGTTTCCAGTACTAATTTAATCATTATGAATCCTTTTTTTTTCAGAAAATGTTGCGAGTGAAGGATGAGGAGTGCTCCATGTCTAAGGGCAGAGATTATCAAGATGGCCCGCTGTCTGAAGACTACAGTGAGAATGAGCTGGAGCTGTATCAGCAGTACTGTGCCGGAAAGTATGGAGAACACAGCACGGTACCTGCTTCTCCTCACTCTCACAGCACACTTCAGAAAAACACAAAATACCTTTTTACCAAGTTAGCCCACTTGGATATCTTGGTTAAACTTCTGGAGACATATTTCCAGCAATGCAAGAACAGCTCCTATGTTCTTGAATGGGAAACAATAAAAATCTACTGTTTGCACAAATTATCAAATCCCCAGTAAAACATCTAAATGTAGCTTCCTTAGATCAGGTCATGCAAAATGTTTTTTTAGGTTAATGCATGTGCAGTAAGTAAATTATTCCATAATGTTTGTAGGATGCGATTGAAGATACCTATTTTGGCAGAAATGGTTGTGCCTGAACTTTTTGTTTGTTTTTATTTTTAACCAGGGTTGGAACAGTGATGATGATG